AAAACCCAACCAACCCAACCCCTTCTGGTCCTTTCCAAGTCATCATCCAATCAAAGAGTAAAACACTAATTACTGAACTCGCTCATCCTTACGTGCTTGAACCTCAAGACTAGTAGTTAACATCGCATTTAAATGTACAAAGTTAACTTTTGATTTTTGTGAAAACGATTCCAATCCTGTAAAAAACATACCAGTTTTTCAAACGCTGGTTACCTCTCTAAAGTCAGAGCTTGTAAGGACATGAGGTACAGTTCACGATACTGTGGTATTCAACTCTGCCTCAAAGCTCTGACTGTTTTATGAAATTCACAGTAGTCAGGATACACAGTCTAAAAATGTGAAATTCAGAAGTTGTTAGAGAGACTAAACAATGCAATGATTTGGCATGAAATCAGCTTCCAGACTAAATGGTTGGAGGTGATAATTTAGCCAGTAGCAGAAGTTTTAACCCAGAAGAGATAAGAGCAGTATCTGAGCACTGAACCCTTCCTTAGTTTTGGCCTGGGAGTCAGTTCTAGGTATATCTTGAGGCACAAGAAACACATTAACCCTATCTGCTACCTACCTCAATAGCTTTTAAGTAGCTATCAGCCAGTTTTGACACCAAAGAACTTGTCTGGACAAGACGACAAACTGCCCACATTTTATTTTTAAAGACTAAGATTGCATTCAAATATAACATATCATGCCGGTAAGGAAGATACAGAAAAACAATCCAAGCATCATGCCGTTAGACAACTTCTGCCATAGTAAATTCTTTGCTTTACATCATCAACTCGAGTTTTTCAGTTTAGGGCAGAAAAAAAAGCTTGCAAAACATTCATGTATGTATTTAAATAATTTTAATCCAGACACAACCTATATACTCTAAAGCCAAACAGTCTATCGCTGAGTTAAGAATTAACTCTAGAGCAAGTAAAAAAAAAATTATTAGCGTGAACAAGCGTCACAATCTAAAGTTATCTAATACATCAATTCAACCTTTTTTTTAAGCATTTAAACGATTGGCCTCATCTTTAACAGGTATCAAACATCTAAAACCAGCCTACGAGTACCTGGAAGAAAGTACAAGAGTTCTAATTTATACCCTCAAACACAGCGTGGAACCTGGTCAGCTAAAAATAGTAATGAAACAACCGAAAAAATAGAAGAAAACCCCACAAGGCCTCTTCCCCTTCAGGCTGTAAGGGCATTTTTGTGTTAAACAATTACTCACCCTAGCAACCTCTGTTTGAGGTGCGCTCGTTAAGAGTCACTGGACTTTGAGGCCGGGTCCGTCGCTGCGGCGTTCAGCCCCACCGCTCGCTCCCCGGGAGCTGCGGGGCCCCCGGGGGGCTCGGCCGGGCGGGCCAGCCCCGCGGGAGGCGGCGGGAGGGTTCCCGGCTCCCAGCCTCGCCACCTTCCCCACCAACACGTGTTCCCGACATAAACTTCCGGGTTGGGCTAGAATCGGCTGCGTAATTGTGTCCCATGCGCGACTTTTTGTTTTCAGACCTTCATCTCTCTAAAGATCCCTTCAATAGCACCGGGATCCCGGAGAAGGGCGAAAGGTTGCGCCTCACGGCAGCCTTCAGGGCCACTCAAGCACCATAAATCAACCACCCCCCCCAC